GGCGGAGTAATGATCGGGAAGGAGCAGGATAGGTGGAGAAATCACAGATTCCAAATGGAATGAAGCTGGAGCAGGGATAACCTTGCTCTGCAGTTCCTCAGGTACAGCTTCCTCTCCAGCAAGGAGAACAGTGAGCAGCACACTAGTGGCCTCAGCAAACCTTTCTCCGAATCTGGTGAGACTATTAGTAATGCCTGAGATGATCTCACACTGCAGATATACAGCTATGAGGTTGTAGGCACAGGAGTGCATGGTCACACTCACATACAAAGAAGTCCACGGCTATTTTGAAGTGGATTTTAAGTCTTAAGATACAATTTTAGGGTACTATTTAGGCACAAATAACATTGCTAGATGGTCCTTATAAGATGGCATCTCATAGAGATTGCGTGTAAAACATAAGTGAAGATTGGACGCCCAATGTAGTTTTGGTTTTACCAGTCTTTAACAAACTTGGCCATAGACACTTAGGACTATGGACTCCCCATGTGAAAACTTTTAGTTCACAGCGTCTTACCTACAGGTCACATACCCATGTATTGCAATTGGGCAGTGCAAATTTGTTGTATAGATGGTTGTTAGCTTTTGTTTTACTAATTTTAGTGGTTTCTGGCTTACAGTCTCTGTCCCTATTCCATGTCTGCATTTCATGAATTAAACTCAAGATCAGTCAAACTCTAGGCCAGGGGTGCCCATTAGGTAGATGGTGATCTAGCAGTAGCTCTCAAAGCTGATGCTGGTAGATCAGGAAGGGGGGGGGGGGGGGGAAAAGGAAAGGGGGGGGGGGGGGAATGGCGGCCCCATTATTCCATGTTGGTATATTTATTTAGCTGTGCGCACATGATTACCTATTAGCCCGAGTCTGCTGAGCCGAGCTCCCCGACACCTTTCTGGTGGATACTGGAGGTTGGAGTGCCATGTATTACATCAAAGACTATTCGTTTACACAGCAACATACAGCAAGGTGAGCCAGGAGAGAGAGCGGGGAGAGACAGCCAGGAAAGAGAGCAAGGAGAGACAGCTAGGAAAGAGAGCAAGGAGAGACAGCCAGGGGAGAGAGCAAGGAGAGATAGCGAAGAGAGCGAAGCGAGACAGCCAGGAGAGAAAACGAGGAATGACAGCCAGGAGAGAGAGGAGAGACAGTCAGGAGAGAGAGAGCGAGGGAGTTTTTTTGTTTCGTTGGTAGATCTCATGTAGCTCGTCATTTGAAAAGTAGATCTTAACACAAAAAATTGTGGCCACACCTGTTCTAGGCCATAGTGGACTGTAGCATCAAGTATTTATAATTTTTTTTTTGCATATTTTTGGTCCAGATTTTAAAATCATATCCACTATATGGCCAAATGTTTTACCGATGTTGTACATCCAATTACAAAACCATGGCCATTATTATGGAGTTCATCCCTATGTGGCTATACCAGCCTCAGTCTTCTAGGAAGGCTTTCCAGAAGATGTTGGAATGTGTCTGTGGGAATTTGTGCCCATTCAGCCAAAAGAGCATTTGTAAGGCCAGTACTTACCGTATTTTGCGCTCCATAAGGCGCACCGGTACACAGGACGCAGGCAGTTTCTCTCACAGTTTCTGTGACAGAAGCTGCAGTAAGTGACTGCTGAGACAGGTGGCGCTGTGATTACAGCGCCACGGTCTCATCAGTGATCACACAGAGCAGACGAAGAATGGACGTTCTTCGTCTGCTCTAGGGACTCTATGGTGAGCTCCTATCCCGTGGTCATGGGTCCCCCAGAGGAGCGGAGGACCCGAAAACCACGGCGCCGCCTCTCGGTTTTAATACAAATGATCTGAATAGATCACTTGTATTAAATGAGCAGCGGCTTCCACTGCACGTTTAGTTCTGCTTTAGCAAGGCTAAATGTACAAAAAAACTAGGAATTCGCTCCATAAGACGCACACACATTTCCCCCCCTTCTTTTGAGGGGGGGAAGTGCGTCTTATGGAGCGAAAAATACGGTATATGTTTTCATGTACAATGCTGTATACATACATGTGACGATCTTCTAGGGAAGAGAAGACCTGGATCGCAATTAGCTTTCCAATTCATCCCAAAGATGTTCTGTAGCCTTGAGTCAGGGCTCTGTGCAGGCCGATGAAATTCCTTCACACCAAACTGGTCAAACCATGTCTTTGTAGAGCTGGCTTATTGCTAGAACAGGAAGGGTGCTCCCTCCCCAAACTCCTACCACAGAGTTTGAAGCACATTGCCTATAATGCCTTTGTTTGCCAATGTTGGTCAATGGACATTCCATGGTTATTCGTTTCATGTTATGCAACACTATATACAAGGAAATAGATACAAGAAGAAACTCATAAAGCTATAATGGTCAGGTGTTCACAAACCTTTGGCCATATAGTCCATCAGCTTTACCCCGCATCAAGAAATAAGCTGTTTTTTGGTTTCTTCTGTTGCAGCTTGATTCCAAAATCATAACAACATGTACAAATGGGAAGTGGAACAAACAGGTATCGTGTGAACCCATTGACTGTGGCCCGCCGGATACGAATCACATCTACCATGCAATATTTTATTGTCCTCATGGAACCACCTACGGAAAGAATTGTACGTTTCAGTGTCAAGACTCTGCAAAACGGAGAGGTAAATGCAGCTCCATTATTTTCTTAGAATTGGCTAAAAATATTAATAATTTTAAACAAATTTTGTAAAAAAAGAAACCAGTTCAAACTAATTTCCATTTAATACCTTTGCCATGCATTGACCTAATACTAAAGGCAACTATAGATGTATTTCTGTGTGATTTTATATTTTCATGTGCAGCTCTTCGGTCAGTCTTGGCAAAATAAATCTTATTTTTTAATCTATGGTAGCACTAAGGGGTCTATTTATAAACCATTTACAGGGCCCTTTATGTTAGTTTTATGTGAATAATGGCGAAAACGGAAATTCTTAATATGTTTTACTCTCAGGTTGAATGTATTGAGGTGTACTACTGCATTTTGGCCACTAGGTGGAGGTGAGGAGCATAGGAAAACATAATTTGCTTCCTGTGATCCTCAGCTCTATCTAGTGGACTGTGACGGACCCCCGTACTCAGGATGAGTATGTCTGCCGCTGTCTTCTTCCTTGCTCTGGAGATATCGGAACCAGCTGATCCTTAGCTCTCAGTTTCCCCAGTCTCTGGTCGGAACACGAGTGAAGGGTGAAACAAAATTTGGTTTATTGAGAAACTGCACAAACTTTTATACAGCAAGTGATGAGATCAGAATATAATCCCATCACATCCACCCTCCCCTCCCAGACAATCGGTCTGCTCAACACCACAGGGCTTCCCCTGCTAACGAGCTCCAGACAGCCATAGCAGCAGCCTGGCCAGAATGTCATTGTTCTGAACTCCCTCAGAGAACAATGGGAGATAACGAGGGATGGTGCTGATAGTCTTTCCATAACCAGGTTACTCAGTATAACGCACTCAAACATAACTCAACACCATTACACATTTAACTCATAAAACTGATCACCATGTCGTCACATGGACATAATACAGTATTACATCACAATACATTCAACCTGAATTTTTTTCAGGTTGAATGTATTGAGGTGTAATACTGCATTTTAGCCACTAGATGGAGCTGAGGAGCATAGGAAATAAGTATTTGCTTCCTATGGTCCTCAGCTCCATCTAGTGGACATAATGCAGTATTACATCACAATATATTCAGCCTTAAAGTAAAAGAAAATGTAACAATGTTAGCTTTTGCTTTTATTAATATCAAAAATGTCCGCAGATATTTCCAATATTGAAATCCGCATACGGTTTTAAAATGTCTTCCCTCTAGGTGACAATACCCTGCTAACCTGCATGGAAGACGGCCTGTGGTCCTTTCCTGAGGCCATCTGCGAGCTGATGTGTAGTGCGCCTCCCCCAATAGTCAACGCTGTTCTGCAGACCTCCCGCTGCCGATCTAAGGAACACAAGGTGGGCTCGTCCTGCAAGTATAAATGCAAGGTGGGACACCACGTGCCCAACGCCTCTAAGAAGATAAGGAAGTAAGTAGGACTCACACTGAGGTTTGTGCATTATTTTTTGGAGTTTCGTGTCGCCTCGTTGGGCTTTTTGACTCACGTTTAATTTTTTTTGTTTTTGTTTTTTTTTTTCCTTTGGGAAAGGAAGGCATTCAAAATTCAGTGCACTAAAGATGGGGCCTGGCAGGAAGGTGTTTGCATCCCGGTCACGTGTGAACCGCCTCCTATTAAGTTCATAGGGCTCTATCAGTGCACGGATGGGTTCCGGTACAACAGCGAATGTAGACTCTTGTGTGAAGAAAACAGCACCCAGCTGGTGAGTTTCCAGAGTTGTGTAACTGCATGCAGTCTACAGGACACAAAAGTGAAGGGAAATCTCAGAAATCTGAGAGAAGGACTCGTTCTTACAACTGAAATAATTGTATTTCTTTCCTCTCAGGACCTCGCGCGTGATACCGTACGCTGTCAAAAGGATGGAAGTTGGAGCAGCAGTTTCCATCTTTGTAACTCCATCAAGGGCCCGTGTGAACCTCCCCATCTTTCCATCAAAGACTCCTTGGTGATTGACTGTGGACAAGGATATGAAATAGGTATTTCCAAATATTCATTTATAAGCTAAAGCTGAATCTCCAATTTTCTTATATTTTGCCTTCCTTGGTTCCTCCGCCCCCTCCCCCCCTCATTAACATGCTAATCAATTTTTCAAAAAACTTTGTAAATTTGGAGGCACCATCCATCATTTGGAGGGACCGGCCATCATTTGGAGGGACCGGCCATCATTTGGAGGGACTATCCTTCATTTGGAACCAAATCCTTCTGCCTTTCTCTCCTCCGTCCACTTTGATTACGGCGCACATTCTCCGTGGCATCGCTTTAATAAGCTTATACAATGTCACAACATTGATTTCCATCCAGAGTTGCCTTCATTTTTCACCAAGATCTTGTAGTGATGATGGGAGAGTCGGTCCATGGTGTAAAGTCTTCTCCAGCGCATCCCAAATATTCCCAATGCGGTTAAGGTCTGGACTCTGCGGTGGCCAATCCATGTGTGACAATTATGTCTCATGCTCCCTGAACCACTCTTTCACAATCTGAGCCCAATGAATCCCGGCATTGTCCTCTTGGAATATGCCCAATGTGCCATCAGGGAAGAAAAAAATTCATTGATGGAAGAACCTGGTCTTTCAGTATATTCAGGTCGGCAGCTGACTTCATTTTTTGGGGAACATAACCAGCTGAAGCCACCCCAGATCATAACACTTATCCAATGGAAGGCTCTGACCTTGCTGCTTAACTGAATCCAGAGGGTGACTTTTTTGGACAGGCCGTCTATTACACTTTTGTTGTTTGGGTTTAGATACACTTTATTTCTGGGGGACAGTTCAGAACACATCCATGGCCACTGATACTTCGGCTTGGTACAATACAGTATTACTTTTTCTGCTCACATATTTTTGGAAAGTATAAACACTAAGCACAATTTAACTTTTTTCTATGAGCCGCTCATTTCATATTTTTTTTTTAAAAAAAGGAACTTTTCGTGCTTTTTCTTCCCTAAAAACATTGAGACATTAAGATGTGAATTCCTCAGCAGAGCAAACCACAACCACGAGGTCCTGCCAGGTAAGGGACGTTCTGTGTCTTGCAGCACAGCACAGCACAGCTAGTTCTCAGCCTAACCATGATTGTTCCTTCGCTGTAAATGTGTGCCTCGGAAATCCAATTTTGTGTCTCCCCGGAGGGTTGTAGCTGAAACCTGAATGAGCTCAATATGCACTAATAAAGTCACAAGTCACAGCATTGGAGCCCTACTCCCTCCCGTTAATGTCAGCCGTGGAGCACCTATTGATAATGCCAGATGTTTCCTTTTCCATAATTGCAGCGATATTACATTTATCATACAAATGTGCTTGATCATCTCATGACCCCAAATGCCTCCCCGTGGTTCCATTGTCTAGAGCTATAGCAGGCTATAAAAAAATAAGTAGCTCTCAATTATATTAAACATGATATCATGCAACTTCTACATTGCCATCCTAATATTTTTAATTGAAGTCATACATAACACTTGTAGATAATTATGAACAATTAATTTCTTATATTGTAGCAGTCCCCGACCTGGTGCTGTGTTGAATGACCCCCAAGGCGATGAGGCAGGCTAACATTTAACATCTCAAGTTGAGTTGTTGGCTTATTTTGAGGTATAAACAAAAAGTTGGCCACCAGTCACTTCAGTCTTTTCTATAGTTTACTCAATCAAAAAACTTGAAGAGAGGATTAGGAGCATAGGATCCCAGAAAAATATCCCAGGTCTTCTTATATCAGCAAAGGTGATGGTGGCTCCATTTTCTTTAGTAGCACCCACCCAGTAGTGGCAAATGGTGGCCTCAAAACCTTCAGTAGCATTCCAATAATAACAGATCCTTTAAGAGCTGCTGTTGGTGACCCAATGTCTTCAGTAGCAGCCTCCTAATAATAACAGATCCTTTAAGAGGAGCTAATGGTGGCCCTACTCACAATAGCAATTGGTCCTTTGACCCTATGTGAGGAGTCACAAGTACCTTTAAGTGTAGAGGTAATGAGATCTCCCTGTAATGTCCATGTGGCAGCAGCTTCACCATGCGCTCTCCTGGACACTCTTCAGTTGCTCCCTCTTGGTAGCCACCTTCCTGTTCCTTTCAGAGATGCTCTCTATGGGTAGACACCACTCTGCCCCTTTTAAACCATAGAACAGGCCAGCTAAGATTCATTGGGCCTTGACACAGGCCCTTGGCTGGAGCCAAACCCCAAGAAGAAAAGGCCCCCTCACTATGGCATCCTCTCCAGGCAAAAGTCCAAGAGGAAAGAACAAGGACCTTTCTAGAAGGTTGCCCCAAATATTTAACCCCTTACTTTACATTTCTGGAAAAAAACCCTATGTGATTGGCCAAGGCAGATAAATATTCATAACTTAATATATTGTTGTTTCTCACATTAACTACTGGAACCAACTCAAAAGCAGCAAGCAGAAACAATCAATGTCCTGATCTTAGAAGAAACCCGACTAACACATAAAATATACATAAAGCTCAAGTTGTCTAGAGCATCTGGAGATCCTTCTACTAATACACTTCACTGTACTGTCTCTACAGTATAGAGTAGTAGGACTGTGAGCCTAGGGCAAAGGGGTATTAGGACTACAAAATACCTCCCCTTCTCCTGATTTCCATAACACAGGGGAAAAGAGGTCTTTGGTTTAAATTTCTTAAATGTATAGCAATGCACCAGAAGCCCAACATTGCTCAGAGCAGTAGAAGACCCCCCCATTCTGTATGTCTACGCAACAATGACAGCCACTCAGACCAGTTAAGAACTAGCAAAAATAGAGCAGTCCGCATGGGTGAGGCAAGATACAGGGCAGTACAAGATTTCCCAGCAATTGTGCCCTTTTCCTTTTACAGTATTTTTCACATCATGTCCCATCCTCAACAATGTGTACAGTTTACCACCAGGGCCAATGTTTTTGTACTTCTACGCCTAAAGAACATATAGAGAGAAGTTCTGTTAAATTGGTGAACCTTAATAATTCCTACATAGAAAATGAAGTCTTCAAATGTATATGAGGGTCACTGCAAGCTGGGCTTGGCCATTGTAAGGGCAGAAGTGCCTGCTATGAAACTGCAGTGGTGGTCCATCCTTCCCATTGCAATTTGAAGGGCTCTCCTGTCAAGTTGACATCGGGTTCCCACTCTGGGTCCTGTTGGTGCAAGCATTATCTAAAACGGTGATGTTGCCAAAAATGCTGTTTTGGTCTTACTCTCAAGTCCGACTAAGGTGGTTCTATGTGCCTTCAATGTGTTATGATTACCTATCCAAGCTCCTGGAAGACCCATGCTGTCCCATGCTGGCCTCTCGCTTCTATGGAGAGGTCAAAAGCATCAGTTGCCATATTCTTTCACTCCGGGTTTCCTTTACTATTGCATAGAAAGAATATCCTTATTTTCCAATTGCACTAAAGTTCTTGAGGCTGTTGGTAGAGAATTCTGTATTGATTCAGATACTTTTTTTTTTTCATACTTTAAAGGTGCCGAATGCAATGTTACCTGTTTGGATGATGAAAAAAAGGAAGTGGTGATAATGCCATACAACGTCACAGAAAGGAATTTGGAGCACTGGATGAATCCAACCAGAGTTCAGGTCGGTTCCCAAAAACGGAATGTTACAGTATTGGTATGTAAAGAAAAAAATGTAACACGTGTTCATGATCCCCGTTACCAGGGAGCCAACCAAATAACCTTTTGACTGAAGTAATCGTCTTGGTCTGCTACGTTTTCCCACTGGACAGAAGAGCCAAAACCAGGCTCTCTGGTGAAAAAACTGTATTAGTGGAGACCCTATGTTCAGAGCCATGGTGCAAAACTTTTCAGTTGTCAATAATCCCAGATAGCAAGGATAACTTGCCACACACTTGTGTCAGGGTTAAATTGTAATTCTTGTTAACTTGCTGCACACATTCCTGGCAAGTTGTAGACTTGCAAAACACTCGCAGCACAAGTTCTAGGTGACACTTTTTGAATTTGTAGCAAATTTGCTTGGCAAGTCTACAGCAAGAGTCCTGCAGGTCTTAGCAAGAGCTCTGCAAGCTCGCTGATCTGGAGACTTGCAATGCGGACTTGCTGTAATTGTGCAACAAAATTGTGAAGCTTGGCAAGTCTGCAATAGTTTAGCAGGTCATTTTCAAACTTGCAGCTCAATTACTTGCTATCTGGGATGCTGGTACTGGCCTGAAGTACAGTCAGTATAGATGTCTTAACAACCAATAGTTAAATTACATAGCCGGTTAGCCTATGGAGGGTAGTCCTCAAAGACCCCGCATAATGCTACCTCCTCATGTATCACTTCTCCCTCCCATTTAGATTGTAAGCCCTCAGGGGCAGGGACCTCCTTACCATCTTGTCTTGAATTGTATTGTGATTGTAATGTCTTTCCTATATTGTAAAGCGCTGCACAAACTGTTGGCGCTCTATAAATCCTGTATAATAATAATATGTGAAATTGCTTTTTGCATACGTACCACCCGCTCAGTGTCCACCGCCCCTCTCTGCCAATCCTTCCACTGGCTTCCACTCACCCAATGCATAAAATTCAAAATACTAACAACAAAGCCGTCCACAACTCCTCCCTAAGTTACATCACCAACCTTGTCCCAAAAATATCACCCTAACTGTCCTCTTTGCTCCTAGTAAGTAAGACCTCCTACTCTCTAGCTCCCTTGTCACCTCCTCCCATGCTCACCTTCAGGACATCTCCAAAGCCTTTCCCATCCTCTGGGCCTGCCTACCCCAATCTCTTCTGCTATGTACACTTTTAGGTTAGTGTGACTTGTCCAATTAGAGAATGCCTTGTATCCATTGATAAAAATACTAGGCATTTCCTGAATGGCCATTATGCCATGCGAGAGACCCCACCCCTTCCCTGTATTTTCACAGCACAATACAGTACCAGGACCTAGAAGATTACTGTCAGCACTGTAGTAGCTACAGTGTCTTAGCCAGGATCCCAGTTATAAAATATGTATTCTGACATTGGGCCAAGCTGAACCAATGTAATTATATATAAATGTAGGGAAACCACAGCTTTAGGGAAACCACTTTTAAATTCACACAATAATCTTTTACCCTAAACAGACTCATTATCGAAATTCCAGCACCTTTGTTTTCCTAGAGGTGCAGAAACTGGGGCGAAACATGGTTTCCAGGCATGCACTGATACCAGTTTTTCGGTATCGAGTACGAGTGCCGATATTTTTTTTTCAGTACCCGTCGATACCGTATAACGATACCTGAAGTCCCATTAAGAAAGCTGGGCGGCGTGTAATCACTCGCCGCCCAGCTTCCTGATTAGACGGGAAGCCGTCTCCATGCTCCCTCTTCACCAGCTGATGACTCGCTGCCCGGCTTCCTGATTGGCCAGCTTCCTGACCAATCAGGAACTTCCAGTATCAGGAAGCCGGGCGCGTGTAATGATTCGCCTCCCGGCTTCCTGATACCGGTAGTTCCTGATTAGCCAGGAAGCGGGCTCCATGCTTCCAACCCTTTCCGGCCAATCAGGAAGCTAGGTAGTCCCGGTATCGGGGATAGGCATCGGGAGCATTTGGGCCAGTATGAGTACTTACCCAAATACTTGGTATTGGCACCAATACTAGTATTGATATCGGTGCATCCCTAATGGTTTCCAAAGCATGTTTTTAGTTCCCATATATAAGATCTATTTATGAATAAACTTACATTTGTTATGCCCCCTGTACCCCCCACCCAAAAAAAAATCAATACCAGACCCTTATCCTAGAAAGGGATCTGAAATTGGTTTTAAGGGGGGACCCCAGGCAAAAAAACACGA